TTATGATTTATCTGTTCACAATTTAAAGGAAAGTGTACGTGTTGCTGCTTTTAAAACATGTCATGCACTTACAAAGATTACTGTGAAATACTGTGATCCTGATAATGTATCTATTGATGATGGTCAAAAAATAATGAATATTATAATGCCATTTTTGTTGATGAAAGGCTTGTTATCTGATTCAGAAGATGTGCGCAAATTTTCTCTAAGAACAATCCTTAAGATCTGTAAATCAGCCAGGACTCTATTAAAATCACATATTACAAATATTGTTGGAACTTTGTTAGAAGGATTATCTAGCATGGAACCACAGGTTATGAGTATGTACATATTTATAGTGTTCTTACTAAAATATTTTGACAATTTTAATTTTATATATCATTATTATATTTTGTTAGATTATCTTAGTTTCCATGTTGAAAAATATGATGTTACTCAAGAACAGGTCAGTAGTATTGTATAATATTGAAATTAATAAAAGTTTACAAGCAATTTATATTTTATTTGCATAATTAGCTTGAAAACTCTCGATTATCTGCTGCAAAAATGTCTCCAATGATGGAGGGTATAGAGTCATGTATTGATTATATTGATGAAAGTGTTATGGAAAATTTAACACCCAAGCTATTACAACTTGTTCGTAAAGGTGTTGGTCTGCCAACAAAGGTGATCTAAATAATTTTAATATTGTTTAACTCTTTTGCTTGTGCAATATTCTTTTTCTTAATATATATTTAATTTCAGGCTGGTTGTGCAAGATTCTTGGTATCATTATGTCTTAAAAAAGCATCAATATTAAAACCACATGCAGATACTATAATGAAAGCCTTAAGTGGAGCTATTCTTGATACATCACCTGCAGTCAGAAAATCATATGCTATTGCTGTTGGATACATTGCCCATTTATCATCAAATAATACTTTAATTAGATTAATTGAACATTTAAAGAAAGTTTACTGTGAAAATAATGGTATAAAAAGTTAATCTATTTCTAATTATATAATTTATTAGATTGATTTTTATAATCTTTTTTTTTGATCTTCTAACTATAGAACAAGAAATACGTTCTATTTCAGGTATAACTGCTCTGGAGGTTTCTAAACATGCATCAGACAAGCTAAAGCAGATATATGTAGAAATATTACCACTTGCTTATTATGGTTTACATGATTCTGATACAGGAATTAAGAATGTATGGAATGAAGTATGGGACGAGAATACTACTGGTACAATAAACTCATAATAATAATAATAAATGTTTGATTATTTTGTAATTCATGCATCTTTTTTATATTTGTATTAATTTAGGCTCTACTAGTGCTATTAAATTGTATCTTAAAGAATTAATAGATCTTTTATCAACATTGTTGGAATCACCTTTATGGCAAACTAAACATCAAGCTGCGACAACAATTGCAGATATTGCTAAAATAATAGGTATAAGAGTATTTGAAAAGTTTTAAAATTATAATATTTTCTGATATGAATTTTTTTAATATCAATTTTAGAAAAAAGTTTATTGCCTTATATGACACAAGTTATTCCACTGTTAATGAATAGTTTATCAGGAAGGACATGGGTCGGAAAAGAGGCACTTGTTGAGGCACTTGTAATAGCTTCTATTTCGTGTAAAGAATATTTTGATAATGATAATACACGTGTACAATTAAATGACGTTTCAAAAGTAAGACAAGTTTTGTTGATTAATTTATTTTTTTTGATTGTTAATCTTTTAGAACTAAAATATTGCATTGTTTACATATTCATATAAGATTCTTATACGTGAAAGCAAAAAAACAAATAAACTATATAAACGCAATTGTATCGACAATCTAGGAAGATTTGCAGATTCTTATATTGATATTTTGGATCTTTATACAGATGTTAAAGAATTTTTAATTGAATTGGCAACTAGTGAACAAGATCCTAATGAAATGGACGAAGATGATGCCAATCAACAACCATTATTCTTCTTAGTTAAAGCAAGTGCGATGAAATGTCTTGGTTTAGTATGGTCTAAACAAAAGGAAATTCAAGGTATGTATAAAATAAATTGAATACTAATATATTTCAAATAATGTTAACAAATTGGTATATATATGTTTGTATAGTATTGCATTCAAAAGAACTTGGTCTTGTATTTGCCACTTCTTTGGAATCAAGTAAAAATATATGGAATATTCGTCTTGGTGTTCTTGCATCTCTTGATAAATATATTGATAAATTAGATCTTACAGAGAATGATAAAACATTGGTATTGGATGAAGAAACTTTGCTTTCTATCTTCAATGGATTAAAGAACGGATTACAAGATGCAAAATATGTTGCAATTCGTACTGCAAGTTTAGAAAGTTTTAAAAAAGTTATTGAAAAAGTTAAAGGTGAGAAAAGATTTCTTTTTATGTGCAGCTTATGTCAATACCAAGTAATTTAATTCTTTTTTTTTCAACAGATACACATTTATCTTTACCTGCAATTAGAAACCAGTGTTTAGATATTATTAATATTGCAGAAAGTGACCCTGTGCCTGGCATTTCTGAGTTAGCTAAAGATATACACAAAACTTTATAAAATCATTATACTGAAACTTTATGTTAAAAAGTTTAATTTTAAATTTGTTACATTTTCATAGACTGGCCAATAAAATTAGAAGAATAGGTGTAATATGAAAACCGAATTAATTTAAAATTAACGTTAGAATTAGTATTAGACAAAGTATTGTCTAGACAAAGTATTTGTCAATACGTAGTAAATTTTATTATTTTAAATAAAGTTTGACAGCTTTAGTAATTAATTTTTAATTTATTGAATAAAAAATTTACATTAAATTTATGGCGTCTTTTTAAACATCATTATTGCCAAGACAAAATTCAAGTATCATAATTTGCTTTTATAATGATACGAAAATATAAAGAAAGGAATTCTATTTGTAAAAACATTATTATTATTTTATACGAAACATTTTCTAAAGCATAATTTGTTATAAAAAGTTACAGTAAGCAAAAACTACAAAGTAAAAAAAGTAACCAAAAAAAAAAAATGCTAATGTTGTACATATTTTTTAAACAATTTAGAATAAACATGATTAAAATCGTAACCATCTAACAGAAAGAATAAAACTATAAAGCAGTAAATTCTTGATAATTATTATCAAGTTGATCCAAATTTATACAATTTATAGCAGTTGGATCAGTAGTAATCATAATTAGAACAAACCATATAAATACCAAGAACTAGTAAATAATATCAAAATAATGCTAATAGCAGGCATTATTAAAAAACGACAAGTCAAAACATAATCAATAATAGAGGCGATACGGTCATTGTGAAAACGGGTAAGACTATATAATTGAGCACCAAGGGTTAATAGGAAAGATGCTCAATAGCTTGAGAAATAGCCATAAGAAGAGCACCTTTATTGATCAATAAAAGTTTTGAATAAAGAATAGCAACAAAAAATTAAAGCTTATAAAGCGGCTTATAATGAATTGGAGGCTAAGGAATTCTTTACACACGACATTTGGATTTGATTTTACTATATTGCTAGGTTGTTGGATGAGCTGATTGTCTTTTTAGGAACTTTTTCAACAAGTATGAACCAAAAGACTATCTATAAAATGAAGCGAAGGGAGTAAATTATATTTAGATTGTGTTATATAATATTATTAAATTATAATCACATTAAATAAGCAAATTAATCCAGAGAATATCATGCTGATTTTCATTTTCATTTGCGGGATGGACTTGTATTCTTGATAACTTTAAACCATCCCAAAGATTTGTAATATTATTACAAGCTTCATGTTGGATGAATTTAGTTAAAACAACTTACCATCCACTAATTAGTGCAAAGAAAAAGAAAATGTAAGTATTGTTCAAATTTTAATTAACTTTTGATGGCAATATTGTAAAAAAGTAGAAATATGGCATAAAATTTTTATTACTATATTTGTCGCGTAATTCTTAGTATGTTTTCTAGAACAGAAAGATCCTATAAAATTGATAAGTTGAAAATTTCTGAGTGATAAACACTCTTAAGATGACATTTGATTTTATATGTAATACTCTTAAAAAAATTGGCATGCGAATTGCAAAAAAAAATTTTACATTTAAAAAAAAAAATTAAGAACCAAATATAATTTGATGATTTTGCGGACGTATCAAATACAAATTACATATCTTAAGGAATTTCTACATCATCCATATTTCTGCTACCAAATACCACTTTTGAGTAATCTCGCGTATATTAATGAGCTTGCTCGTATATATGTGATCCGGGTGTTTGTGTTCAGTAACTGAAATATTACTTATTATTTTGTCAGCTTTTAAAAATTGATTTTTGATTTTGTTCTCTTCAACTAAATTAGTTCATTAATCCAAATTTCAAAAAAAATTCAACATCAGGTCTTTCATTAGGATCAGGATTTTTACATTGGTTAGTAATTTGTCATAACATTTGGGAGTTCTTGGAATCATGAGAGATCAATATCGAATGGCACACCATCAAAAGGTCTTTGTCCAGTTGTTATTTCAGCCATTATGATTCCAAAGCTGTATACGTCTGCTGCTTGCGTAAACTGTTTTCCTTGTAAGACTTCTGGAGCAATATACGGCAAGACCCCATAAATTTCACCTTTTTGCTTTTGAAGTTGAATT